ATGGATAGGAGTGAAACTCATAGGCCTTTTCTCTTGATCAAACATTTTTCTACCTGACAGCTTGGTAGGAAGTTGAGTTTGGGTCTAGTCTCCAATCTTCCTCAAAACAGTTTCAAAGGGTAGGCCAACGGTATTTGAGCGGTGGGATGTGATTGAGCTCTTTCTTCTCTCCTTATCCCAAGCTTAGACCAGACTTGTTCACATTTACTGCCATACTCGTGCGACCGTTCGCGTCGGCCTAGTACTCATTACCTTCTTTTTCTCGAAAATATTAAAAACATAAAAATCTCCAAAAATTAAAAACATCTGCTTTTTCAAACAAACAAACAGTCTTTCAGCTAGAACTACGTAACCCTGATTTCTCATTCTGAATGAGAATACGTAGGAGCAAGGTCAATCCTTGTCGGGCCCAAAAAACTAAAAAAATATATTTTGTTTATTTATAATTTTATTTTAGGGGATAATAAAACATTTTAAAAACCACATCATATTCGCGCATTTAGTTAAAGGTACTGCCTTAGGGCAGGCGTTGTAGGGTGCTAACACCTTCCCTACGCGTAACCTACTCCCGAACCCAGAATCTGGTTTTCGTGGACCGTGCTTTATTATTTTGAGGTTTTTCCATAGTTTTCCATAATAAACTATGGTGGCGACTCCAAATCTCTTTTCAAAACCCGTTTCTTATTTGGATCGTCGTCCCGTCGCGATTCCGGTTGCGACAATTGGCATGCTGCAAAATTATGCAGAGTGGTTGGGCGAGCAAGCAGCTTTTTGGGAAAGTAAATAAGAGTTTTGGCAGTGAGTTTCGAGACTGGGTGAGCTGCCTCGTTGGGTTTTGGGAGCTCTCTATTTTTGTTCTCGCTAGACAATAGGGGTCTTCTCGTTGGGCACCATGATTTTGGCGCTGGGCGAGTGAGTTTGGGCTTTCTTGGTTGTTTTGTTTTTCTCTTCTCTATTATGTTTGGATTTAAATGATGTGATGTTTTATTTAATACCAGTTATGTGTGGTTTGCAATACATGATGGTATGGATGACTCTACGTAAATTATATGAACGATTGTTATAAGGATTTCAAGGAGAAGTCCTTAAGATGGTTATGTATAAGTGTATGCATTGATATAGGGTGCTAGTAATTAAAGGTTATTCTAACGCTCTCAATAACTTCAAAATCTCAAGTAGAGAAAGATAATTATATGGTGAAGAGTACCATGAGGTCCTTAGTCTGATGGTCAATTATTTTGGCCATAGATGTTTGGCAGATTAAGCTCGGAGTGTGGCAGTTATGGTGGATGAGTTGTTGTTATACCACCTTTGGGCCAAAACCCTATAGTTTGATATCAATACATGTATCTGGATGGTCAAAGTCTAGATAAAAAAAATGTATAACTTAGGATTGATTTTTTTATATGTGCTATGTGTCTAATTCTATAAACATGATTTATGATGATTTTGATACATTAGTTTACCCTTTCTTCTCTATGTTGTTTATCTGTTTTGTTTCTTCTCTCTTGCAATAATCACTTAAATAGTCTGAGCTTGAGGGATGTTTCTAGTGAGCAGATGTTAGGAAGAGGTAGAACTAAGCCATAAAGTACAATGTTTGATTTCATGTTTCATTCGTTAATGTAATTATCCTTTTACATTTTTTGTTTACTTTTTATAATAGTCCTAGTATATATTTTGCTATTATAAGTTACTTTTGGATTATTTATAATAATATCTTATATAGTTTCTTTAAATTAACTGTTTTATATTATTGAAATGTAACAATCATAGTTGAATGTTACGAGAAAATTTTGAATTATACATTTTAAAAGAAAAAATAAGTTATATTACAAATTGCATAATTAAAAATTAAAAATTTATAAAAATGTATGAAAAGTATATGCAAGTGCAGGAAACAACTACCCTCAACAATAAACGCTATGATCTGGATTTAAACTCTATCATTGTTATTCTTTTTTAAACTGTATAGATGTCAAGATAATAAATTTTACAATTAAAACAGTGAAATTTAGGAGAAAAAAAAAGTATAAACATGAAATTTGTATAAAATTTAAAAATTGCAACCAGTTAAGTTTTTAACAAGCTCTGACATGAAGCCAGAAAAATGATTGATCATATATGACATGACCATATTTGATTGTGTGGTGAAATAAAAAAAGAAAAGGATGTGAGTAAATAATGTTGGAGGAAACGTAAAAGCGCTCTTTTTTTGCGCGTTAGGTCTTTCTATCCACACTACCCGTTCACGTGTCTGACCAAAGAAAAGGTTTTCTTTTTAGAAACATCTGTGTTTTTCAGATTTTCTACTGTTTGGCTCTTTGCTATTTATGTTTTGTGTGCCATCATGTTCTATTCCATCACCAATTAATTTTGTATATATTTTATTGAAAGTTAAAGTTATGGTTGCTCTCTCATATGTGACAAAATCACTATATGTTGCCCTTAGGCTAGATTTTTAAATCACTAAGCTCTGTAACAACTAACACTTTACAAATGTTTAATATGAAAACTAAATGTTAAATAACTTTTCTATTCTATGAGAATAAATAAGATTTAACTAGAATTTTAACATGAACATTATACATCATAAATGTTTGTTTTATGTTACTAACATTTATAATAAGTAGATACCACTAAATATATAAATTATAATTAAAAAGTTATAATAAATAAATATTTTTTAATATATAATTATATTTTAATTTATGATAAATACTTTATAATGCAGTGTAATATTTTTTAATTATTTTTTTAAATATTAAAATTCAAAAATATATTAAAAATAATAAATTAAAGATAAAAACACTTTTATTAAAAAAAATATTAAAAAACTCAAAAGCAATTATTCTTTAATTTAAATATCTTTCTATGACTTTTTTTATAAAAGCTTTTTTATCTTTAATTTATTATTCTTATGGTAATAATGTTTTTGTGTTTGCGTCCACAATGTGCAGATATGTGCAGATAAATATGAGAAGATAAACGGTCAGATGTTTTGAGGTGAAGTAAGGAGAAAGAGGTGAATTGAAGAGAAAGAATGAAAAATATACACCAAATATTAACAATTCATATATTTACCCCACATTTTTCTGCGTAATTAAATAAATATATACTCTTTATATATGAGCACTCTGACTATGATGCATGTGTTGTTATATGTTATAGTATAATCATATTGTGACGTGGTGTTCCAATGATGGAGTAATGCTATCTGATGGTGTGCAAGGGAGTGCAACAATGTCAGTTGAATGAAACATTCTTTATTATGTTTTATAACATAATAAAATAATAATAATAAAACATTAATAAAATTAAAATAATATAAAATATTTAAAAATTAAAAATAATAAACAGTAATAAAAGAAAAAGTAACTAAAATAATAATAATAATAAATATAAACTAAATAAATAAAATACTAAAAAAATAATAATATTAAAAAATATTTAAAATAATATTAATATTAACAATAATAAAATAATATACTATTTAATCAATTTATTAGAAATATCATTTTATATTTTTTAATATATTATGTCAATTAAATCATTCACAATTTTTTTCTTTATTTCACTTCTCATTTTCTTCTTTTTCCATTTCTTACATTCATTCCCTAATTAAAAAATAAAGAGTAAAGTCATATTTTTTAACTACTAAGGAAACTAGTTAGACCAACTCATGACCAAGAGGGTGAGACCTTTTCCATTTGCCAAATTACATTTGATTTTAGGTTTAATAGCCAATTTAGTCCCCACTTTGGTTGAAAAATCTCAATTTAGTCCCTCGTTATAAAAGTGTTTTACATTAGTCCTAACTTTTAAAATAGTGGGTCAGATTGGTCCCTTTCGTTAAATATAAGTTAACAAAATTAATGGATGATGATGTGACACAGCTTAAAGCTGATGTGTTAGATTGCTCCCTCGTTAGCTTTAAGTTGTGTCACATCATCATCCATTAATTTTGTTAACTTATATTTAACAGAAAGGACCAATCTGACCCACTATTTTAAAAGTTAGGACTAATTCAAAACACTTTTATAACGAGGGACTAAATTGAGATTTTTCAACCAAAGTGAGGACTAAATTGGCTATTAAACCTTGATTTTATTAGTTATGTATGAGAAATGTCTTTTCCTTAGTTTGCTTAAGAGAAAATATTATTTAACACTCACTTGTTTCATCTACAATCTTTTGATAACTACATTTTACAATAAAATATTATATTGAAATAATAATAATAATAATAATAATAATACAAATAAAATACTATAATAAAATAATAATTTATAGAATTATTAAGTTTAATAGAGAAAAGAAAGTGTGAAACTTGAAAGATAAATATGAACACCCAGATAATAAGAGAGCTTACTAGTTAGTTTCCTGAAGTGTCTAGTAACAATTACTTTGACATTGGTTTGCTAATTACTTGATCAAAATTCCTTTCACAGGAATAAAAAGTTGGTGGAAGTTGTTAGCATTTCATCTGTTCCATGATAGAAAATCAACACATCATCATCATCATCATCAGTGTATATAGCATATGTGTTGGAAAATTAATCCTTTTTGTTCTTCTATGAGTTAGTTTGCCATCTGCAACAAACAAAAGAAAGACTCAATTGAACACATCCTTCAAAGAAGAATAGATTGAATACAGACAGAATCCAAAAAACATAAAACAATTTCTATAGACAAAGAAAGAAGTGATTTAGGATGAGATTTTCTACAGCAGCATGATTCGTGAAGTGGGTCATGTCATCATCAATTGACAAAGAAGCTATCATGTTTTTGACATAGATGAGAAAGAAGAATGGAGCTTATGTTCTCTTAAATAGGTCATGATAGTTTCAGAATGACATTAATAAGAGAACGAAACTTTCTACTCCAGAAAATTCAGTACCAGTCAGTTGACACAGAAGTGATAAAACTAAAAAGCAAAGGCAATGTTTATATGTCAGTGTGTGTGATATAAAAAACACCAAACATGAGAGGCTGAGATGTGTCTTCATTTTGAATTATCAACAGACTAGTTTCTAAATTTACATGTTGAGCAGGAACTTCTGCTTCATATAGCCCCTTTAGTTGCCTACTCTACCCCTAAACTCTCCCTTTTTTCGCAATACAACTCTCACATGATCGTGTTCAGTAAAAATGGAACCCCAAATTCTGCTGGAACATAGCTCTAGTTCTTCCATTTCTTCAACTTCACTCGTGCCAGCACAAGAGTAACACAGTGCATCTCCAGATTATGTAAAGCCGTGTTCTCTGCTGGCGAACTTGTTTGGAACACCTCCCCCATGATCGAAGCTTTGAACTCCTAACCGAGAATACGCTGCCTGCCATTTCTTCTCTCCTTTAAGTTTTTTCTTGGTGTTTGAACACTCAAGGGGAAGACTGAACCATATATATAGGGGAAGAATTTGAAGATATGAAGGAAGAAAAATTGTGGTAGATGACTTTTGTTTTTCTGGCCTCTGATTGCAGCTTTGGGACATGTGCCACCATCCACCTAAGATGACAAAGTTACACCCATGAGCCTGTCTCCTTTGCCAAACACGCTTGAGAGGGACTACTCATCCACTATTACTGACCAAGGGTCATCCTTGTCGCCCCATCGTCAATGCCTATCTCTTTTGTGGGATGTGTCTGCATCAACTTTGCTACAATGTTTCTTATCTTCTATTTTGTTTTATTTTCTTTTGCATTTTTAAATACCACATCAATGGAAACCCCTTCTATCTATAAAAAAACAAATCAGACACCAATGGTGATAATGTAAAATACAATCAAATACATTCGTTGTTGCAACTTGTCAGCAGATAAAGACATTCTTAATGACAGTTACACAATATGTTATAGGCCTAACCATTGTTAATCAGCCAACTTATAGGTCAAATAAAATACTAAACCAGTCGGTGGATGAAGTATTGTAAGTCTAATCATGTGTCAATAATAAGGATGCTAGAGTTTTTAAGTCCAAGTCATGGTTGACATGATTCATTGATCATCATCATGATCACTAAACCACCATTAATTATTCTGCTTCAACAAGCTGACTCATGTACACTATGGTTATAGAATACAGACGGCACTGTCTTTTGTCCCTTCTTCCTATGTTGTTAAAATATTCCTTCTCCCAATAACCTCAAATGACCTCAAATTCCATACTATGTTTTATGTACAGTGATTAACACTGTCATCACTCAGATTGTATAACCTCGGTGAAAGACAAAAAGATACAATCAAAACACCAGCTTTTATTAGCATACCATCCACATTACCCTCCCAGAAAAAGAAGTATGAGAAAAAGTGAGATTTCACATAAATATGTGGGGGGTGAGGAGTAAATTTAATGCACCTGGATACTACTAGTAAGCAATTAATGTATTCGTCCTGGGTTTGATGTTGAATACTCCTAAAATAGAACATGCCTTTCCACACGAGGTCATAACACAATCATGTGTTTTGATTTTTCAAAGGACATTTTGTTGAAGGCAATGTTGTGCCTCTAGTAGTGGCCATGATCACGTGTTCTGTGTTGCCTCAAAGCAAAACCAAGTCGTTGTCGTTGTCGACCTGACATGCCTTCCTCTTTTCATTTCCGGCACCAGTCAAATTCCTTCACATTCACCTAATGTTGAAGACCTTCATTTCCTTCTGAATTTCATCTTCACAAATCGTGCTCTCACCCTCACATTTAAAAGATTAGTCCCACATCGCCATGTCTGCTATTCTGGAAGTGGACAGCCTCAACATTATTGGGCCACCCTCAATAAAGCTGATACATTGGGCTATGCACGTTCACTCTTACACGTGTGTCTCTGCCTATGAATTTTCTGTCACAGGACCCATCAACTCTGATTTTCTGTGTATGTAAGAAAATTGAAAAGTGTACGAGAAAATTTTCATCGCCAAAAAGATGAAAAGAGTTATTCTAGATGGAAATGTAAAACAAAACTATGAACGGTTGAAGTTAGTCAAGATGTGTTCATCAATCACCAATTCTAATAAATCATTAGAGGATGTTAATTAGTAGTAAATTCAGTTACACTATATTTTGGACTCAATCAACTAGTTTGTCATGCATTAGTTTTTGTCATGAATTTCTGATTATTGTGAAAAAAAAAAATAAAAAAAGAAATGAATAGAAAGAAGCAAAAGTCATAACTTAACAATGGTTTGATGTAAAAATGGTTTGATGTCCTTTTCTGAGAGGCAAGGATAAGATATTTGCGGTGCATTGTGATTGTGTACCCCATTTGCTTATCAAAACTATAACAATCCTCTTAAATTTGATAACTCACATCTCTCATGATAAAGCTTCTCTTCATACAACACTAAAGATTGTCTCAAAACTTGAGAAAAGAAAACATAATAATTGAGGACACTAACTAATGCATTTGACTTAAGGAAATAAAAGAAAACAAAAATGATGGAGATTGAATTTTTCTCAAATAAAGATAATAGGTTTTATATATGTTTCAACCTTCACTTCCAATAATAGTATGTTATACATTGGTTTTCTCATTATTTTTGACAAGGAAATTCTATCTACACCTTATAAATTATTCAATGTTTTCCACAATCTTCTCTTTCACTTCATTTCTATATCTAAATATATAACATCACATTATAAATACTTTCTGTAATCAAAGCTATGATTTCTTTAAATTTAATTAATACATCATACTAAGTATAGTTAGATATATATTGTTTCGGATGTGTAGGGTTGTGCGGTTCCAAGTCTTCCAAGTTTTCCTGCGGTCTTGTCTCAGTGGCGGATCTTTTCCTCTAGCTTTGACTCTCCTCTTGATCCGGAGGGGTGGAGACCTGCAAAAGATTCTCCGATGCCAAAGTCAGTTTCAGAGCAGTGGCTATTTTCAGAAGTAGCAATAAATGTGAATTCAATGTAACATATCTACCACTCACCATGAACCAGTATTTATAGTTTTCGCTATGGGCTTGGGATTAGTGAAAAGTTAATTACGGCCCAATCAGCCCAATAGCTTCTAATTTTTACTTACCTCTAAACCAGGTTAATTTGCTTAGGTCGCAGTGATCAGTAGTTGGGCCGGTCATCATGATGTGGGCGTCCGCCCCAGTGAAACGGGCGTCCGTCCAACGATACGGGCGTCCGCCTTACCTATGGATGACTAGGGCACTAAATTGGGCGGACGATCCTCTACGAGGTCGTCCGGCTCTCCCTGGTACCAGACGTTTTCGTCTCTCTCGGCATTTTCCTGTGGAACACTCTTTGTGAGTATAGAGAGTACGGGGCTATCTTGTGGTGATGGAATTCCAAGTGAGTTCTTCAAAGTTTTTCTTACAAACAGAGGTTCCGCCCATTCGGGCGACGTAGGCATCGAGATCGGCGGACGGCCTTGTTCGTGGCGCCCGGCACCTGCTGGTGTAGGAGAGTTTATACGGAGTCTAGGTTCAATCCGTGCCTACTTGGGTGGTCGAGCATTTATCCCTCCGGGTGTGGCATGGGCGCCGAGCTAAGCGGACGGCCTTTCTGAGGAGCGTCCTTTGTACGGCGCCCGGCACTTTGGGCGTCCTTCGTACGGCGCCCGGTATTTCGGGCGTCCTTCGTACGGCGCCTGGCACTTCGGCGCCCTTCGTACGGCGCCTGGCACTTCGGCGCCCTTCGTACGGCGCCCGGTATTTCGGGCGTCCTTCGTACGGCGCCCGGCACTTCGGGCGTCCTTCGTACGGCGCCCGGTATTTCGGGCGTCCTTCGTACGGCGCCTGGCACTTCGGCGTCCTTCGTACGGCGCCCGGTATTTCGGGCGTCCTTCGTACGGCGCCTGGCACTTCGGCGTCCTTCGTACGGCGCCCGGTATTTCGGGCGTCCTTTGTACGGCGCCCGACACTCCCTGGTACATATATATTTACGTCTTCAAATTACTAAATAATCAAAGTGTTGAAATATATAAAAAATAACCAATAATTAGGAACATATAAGTTCAAACTTCATGGTAAAGTCAACAGTTGACCAGAAATCAATTTCCCTAATGTGGAAATAAATAAAGGGTTTATTTATTTTTTCACCGTAAGTTTCTGTTGTACAAAGGGACATATGCTTACATGGCAAAAACAAATTGAATAATAATTTCCTTGGAATAAAATTGAACAGAATAATAGAATAGAATGATACAACATGACAAGTAAAACCATGGACATAAAGATAAGCTAAATAATGAATAGAATAAACATCAATCACATAATCTTTTCATTTTCTTTTTCTTTTGAGATATCTTGAACACGAGCAATCGTTCGAAATAATTGTAGAGTCGTCTTTCAAGCCAACCGCAATGCTTTCTTGATGTCTTTCTGTCAAAGAAGAAAACAAAAAACCTTTTTAGTTTCGTACCTCAAGCCTTTTAATTTATGTTAGAAACACTAGTAGATATAAAATTAAGTGATCAACTTTTACAAGTGGATATTGCACTACCACATCAACTAATCACAAATCATGATTAATAAGTAATTGATTAAAAATTGACACACTCACTGAAAAAATATCAAAACTTATGGTAAAGTATACTAATAAATTTAAGTTAGCTTTAGTGGGTTTTGATGGATTTAGTTTTAGAATACATGGTAAAGTAAGTGTAATAAATATTAAAAACTTATAAAAAAAGTAAAAAAATTAAATTTATGCTGGGTTACTTTAATTATTAATAGAATTTAAATAAAATTTAAAAAAATTTATTAAAATTTTATTTTATTATACTAAATTTAAAATATATTATTTTTGGTTATAATAAACTGGATCATTTATTCTAGATTTCAAAATACTTTTTAAATAATTAGGGTTATGTCCTTATTGTATGTCAAATCATGAAAGAGAGAGAAGATATGTGTTACTTCAATGGCTAATGGCTTGGTGGTTGGGCTATAACGGTTGATGACGTGGCCTTCTTCATCAACTAAAAACTTAGTGAAATTCCATTTGATTCTAGATCCCACAAATCCAGATTTCTGTGCTTTCAGGAATTTGAAAACTGGTGCACTATCTGATCCATTCACACGTATCTACACAAAAAACAACAATTTAAACCATAAGATTATAATAACCACATGTTTGTTTGATACATATGGATGGGTTAATATAAGTTATTGGTAATATTATATTCACATGCTAACCTATTATTAATATTTATATACATTTTGAATCAACTTTATTAATCAAACCAGTAATGTTAAAAGATAATAATATTTGAAGAACATTTGACAGTATTTCAACATCATTTATGTGTCATTTTGTGATTGGTCTAAAATTACTTCACAGTCAATAATAATAATCATAAAAATTAACATAAACTAATCACAGAATAACAAATGATGTTAAAATATTATCAAAAAAGTGTTATCAAATTATCATTATTCAAATATTAATTAGGGTGTGTTTCATCGTAAATCAGTGAAATTGTTAATCTACAATATGTTTTCACTGTTTGGATTATGCAATTGGAATAACTAAGTCAAAAGTGTTTCAAAGGTAAAGCACGGTAAAAATTCACCAAAAACTCAGACTCACAAGAGTGTTCAAAGGCATATAAGAACAACTTGTTTATCCTCTGTTATGTTTTGGGAAAAAAAATAAGACTATAGTTACTTTCACACTGACAATATCATCTAATCTTCCCGACAAACACCAACATCATTGGCTCATTTCCCAATATATGTGTCGGTCTGTTCGATTTCATATGCAATTCTTGGCTTGGAATTAAAGAAAGCAGTGCGTTGGATCATGGAAGAGAGATGATAGATCAGAAATTCTTAGCATAAAATTTATTAGTAATTATTAATAGATAAAGAATATTTAGAAATAGAATACCATAATAGTGGTATTGATAATAAAAGGAAGAAATTAGTGTTATTTTGATTGATGGGAATTTGAGAGAGTAGAAGAAGGAAGATACCTTCCCAAAAATAGGATACTGAGCATTATATGTTGTACATGCAAAGTCATGTGCCTGGATGCTAGTCCCAGGCTCTTTCTTCAAAAATTGGTTACATGGAAATGCCAATATCTCAAGACCTAACATCAACAAAACAAAACACTTATAACTTTCCTTTATGTGATTCAACAACTTAAAAAATAATACCATACATACCCCTGCTCTTGTATGTCGAATAAAGCTGAGTTAACTGCGTGTAATTGGCATCAGCAAATGCACTGTTTCTCACTTCAGTTAGCCACAAAAATTGTTTTCTTTTTATCACTAAGAAAGAATACAAGACAATGTTCTAAAAAATAAAACCAACCATTTTGAAGCAACATTAATTACAAGAAGAACTTTGCCCCTGTAAGCATTTAGGTTCACATCTTTGCCCCTCGCATCCTGCGTTCAAATTTACAAGATTTTCTTCATTTTACTTTTTCCACACATCATTTTAGACTTTTGTTTCGATTGAAACTTAGAACAAAGAACTGTACCTTTACAGTGAATTCGTGGATAGAATTTTCTGAGATTGATTGAGAAGCACCCATTTTGGCTCTGTTTTCAGATATTTGTTCTTCTCTTTTCTTTTCTGATCGTCACGAAAGTCTGTTATGTGTTTATGTGTTGCACAATCAGAGTTGAGACATTTATAACATTCTCATTCTATAACTTGTTGCCACGAAATCTCTTCTTTCTATCGGGATTCTAAATACCAATATTTTACTATTACTTTTTCTTCTCATGTGATTACAAAAGATTTGTTTTTCATGTCAATGAATTCATGTTACCCACCTCCATGTTTTTTAAAGTATTCAATAGTCGCCTTACACCCTGGAAATATAACATGCTTTGCATGATCTTCTACTATAGCCTCGGAAGAATGAAATTCACTTCAAAAATACTTCCTCTTTTCATTTCCATAGGATTTTCAGCTAAAAAGAGCACTACGTAAGGTACAACATTATCCCTACTTATCTACTTGTTCACACATGAATATACTTTAATTTGTTTAAGAAATAACAAAACTAATAAAATCATAACAGATATATACGTAATTTAAGTATGAATTAAAAGAGTAAAATATATTTGAAATAGTTTATTAAGCATTTTAGAATGAAGGAGTTTATATTTTATCTTTTACAAAAAATAATTTATTGCATGCTATATATTAAATAAACAGAATATTTGACAGTTTTTTTGAAATTATAAAATTGATCTAGTGGTAAAAATTAGAAGAGAATGAGAGAGAGATTGTAAGTTCAACTAATATTTGGAAAATATAAAATTAGTTTAAAAGTTTTAGTAAAAAATGAAAGACTTTTGCTTTATCTTTTTCACTAAAAAACTAAAATAATGACATATTTTTATCGAATGAGAAATAAAATGACATATTTTGAATAACATATCATCAAAAACATAGTAAAATAAAATAAAAATGTTCTATAAAATATTTCAACTGACTATAGATTTAGTATATATCACTTTTAAATTATAGTTTAACCAATAAAAGTTAGAGATTGTATTATTAATACACATGTTATATATTTCTTTTTATCATTAATTTGCAGAAGCCTTTTACAATCAGGTAAGGATTGTTCTTCTCCCTCACTGTTTTTATCAAAATTGTACACTTTTGGTTTAAAATAGTTCTATTTTTCTAGGAATTCGAAGTCCCTTGTTAGTTTTTATTAGGATATTTCCAATTTCTTATAATTGATTTATTCGAATCTAAGACAAATTTCATTGTGCTAAACAAAATATAAACTGTTGTTTTGCTTGACTTTCCTCGTCGAACCTTTCATTTCTTTTTCAAAATACCAAGCTGGTTTATTTTTCAACTAATTCAGCACTTGTTATATTTAAAAGCATCGAAATGTTATTTAAAATTCAAATGTATATTCGCTCTCCTGTCCAATACATCTTAATGTCAATAAAACTTCTTTTACAAAAAGAAATATATTTATTATATCTTACTGTCATCAAACATTTTCTTATAAAAAAATATGAAGATATCTACCTAAAAAGCACGTCTTTGTCCAGTTGATTAATATTAAACTAAACTAATTTTCTAAAAAATAATGGGAATGAAGAGACAGTTATCCAGAAATCCAAAGGCAGATAAATGGAATTGCACGTTTAGTTGGAAATTTAGAAATCTGAAGTTGATGATTGTCAACCATGGCTGTTGCTGAATAAGCCAAGTGGCCCAAACGACCAAATTGAAGTTGGCGGCCACTAAGATAAGACCATAATATTTGGCAGGGGACACCACGCATCTAAGAGAAGAACAATTTCAATATAGTACAATTCCATGAGAAACGACCCTAAAAATTGTATGTGTATACATATATATATAAATATATATTGATCTAACTTCTGTAAGGGTTTCCCCCATGAAATAAGTTATAAAATTTGGAGCAAAAAATTTGACACATGAGAACCTAAATAGGTTACCCCTCTCCAACAACTCTACACTTTCACTCATTCTGCCCTGCCCTGCATTCTGCAGAACAGGAGGCTAAAATACATATGTACAAAACCTAGCAGATCATCCATATGTCCTGTGCAGATTCCGCCGAAACCCCTCCAAGGATTCATGCATATACACAATGGAAAACCACCTTTTCCTAAACAAGACCAGATACCTAGCAATCAACGAGGGAAACATAAGTACCCACAAGAATACTGGTTGAAGGACAGACATTAGACGATAAATAGAAATATACCAGCCGTGGTTTCTATTATTCTGATCACCTAGGCTGCCAAAAGCTTGGACCTGAAACATAAATGCAAAGCGTTTAATATTTTCTATCGACAATTCAATAGGAGCAGAAGAAATTCTCAAATAAAAATTTTGTAACTACAAAGTAAAAATGTTTTGTAAAATGGGAAAGCACCTCTGTTTGAAACTGGAATTGCGTCTTCAAATGGTGGTCTATAGGACATGGAGTTCCTCTGATTCATAGAACGAGGAGGAAATCTCCACCCATGATCTGGTATTCTGGTAGATTCACACGGATGACAACCATAAGGAGCAGGCACACCTTTTTCCTGATATCGAGGACCTACCACAGAAAGAAACTTGATTTCATTCCATATAATTACAGCTAACCATGGCATGATCTATTACCGACTAAATATGAATATACATGACAAATATCACAAAAATGATCAGTCATCCCAATCTTACCGGGAAAAGGTGTAGTAATATTCCATCTCTCATGGTAATCATAAGGAGGTGGTCTTATTCTCTCATGATTATTATTATAGAAGTTCTCTCTCTCCATGTTCTGCATAAAGTGCTGCCTACTAGAATAAGGAGGGGGTGGTGGAACCTCCCTTCGATGTTCCACATGCCGCTCCCCATTAACAAAAGAAAATTGATTGGACGGCACATGTTGAGGTGGTCGAATAGAATACCCCTTATTACGCATAGCAACACCATCAGTATGTCCATAACTGTCTGGAGGAGGTACAGGAAAACGGTTGAAAGAACAAGTAGATTCTGGCATGTGCATGTCTCTGTATTCAGGGACTCGATTGTGCACTGCATCATTGATAGGTTGGTTATGCCGAGGGGCAGCCATGGGCTGAACCACAGAGGGAAGTGGGTTGTCTTTAAGAGTCTGCAAACGAGCTCGATTAGAAAAGACAAAGAAAGCTGAGTTCTTTATTACTTGGTGGCAAAATCATACGCAGAAGTAGTGAAGCTTACCTGTGAAACAGTGTTATATGGATCAGAGGTAGATGGCATGTGGTGTAGAACTGGGGGTGGGGGTGGGGGTGGAGGAGGTGGTGGAGGAAGGAATGACGGTGGTGGTGGTGGTGGGGAAGATGAAGGCACATCCTGATGTAGAGGAGCAAAGGGCGGGGCCAGATTCTTCTCAAACTGCTTTGCAGTTTCTCCACCAACATCAGAAGTCGAATTGATTTCAACTTCATTTGAGGGAGCTACATCTTCCATTTCAAGTTCACCATCAACATCTTCCAAGATATGCCTGTGTTTTTCAATTGCAGAACTCATTTCTAGTACTTCAGAAGTATGCTCTGGCGTGACAGCCTCAAAGTTCCCACCATCAGAATCACTCCATTCACCCTCATCTTCATCTTTAAGCATCCGGGGCATGCAGAATCCAGGCAGCTGAAAAGTTGAGTTGCTACAAGAACAAATGAACAATAAGTGAACAGTCCGAGAAGTATGAAAAAATAAAAGAGAATTAGTAGTAACAAACTCAAACCTTCCATATTCATCAAGCATGCCCTCCATTTCTCTAACAGGGTCATCCAATGCCCTCTCTGTTCTCATCGAACGACGCATAAACACACCAGCAGCAGCTGAATTGCTGTATAAAGATAGTTCCCGGATATGACGGCGGATTACGTGCACTGGTAGGATTTTTCTCTCCAACCACAGCCTTAAAACCTATTGAAGTTCAAACCAAAGGTTAAAAAATATGATCATGCAAAACACATTCGAGGAAAGCACAGTTTGTTTCACTTCAATCAACATTAAACTTCATTTACTTGCCTTAAGACACTGCCTACGGTTCTCTTGTGCAGTATTTCCAGGAGGAGCAGCAGCAGATAACAGTCGTGGAAGGACTGCATGGATAGCAGACGAATATACCCCACAAAAATCACCTGCAAAACCAGACATTTTATATTCAAGTTAATTATCAACCATCTGGCTTTGACATTTTCATCCTTCTCTTTTAGCTATAGAATAGAGAGGAGCAAAGCATCAAACACGTCACCTTTTAAGCCACGAGAAAACTGTGCAATTGAGTCAACAAGAAAAAACAAATCCACCCTCCGATGCATGCTAGACTCCATTTCCAGACAATGAGCAAGAATTTCCATCACCTGGAACACAGCCCAATACATTAAAACTGTAAATGGCATGGACAACAGATATGTAAGCCTTTTGTAACTAAAGTTCAACAATTTTAATTAGGAAATAACAGCAAAGTCTATTGAATGAATTTAAGTTTCATCAGTGTCCAGAAGAACTATAATACCAAATGTGCAAACTTCTTAGTCAGATTCAAAGAAAAATTTAATTAAACCCGAGAGCAGAATTAAAAAAAAATGTCATCAACATTTAAAGAGTTGTCGGCATAGCTTGTTTAAAAGAAAACTACATTTTTACTGAAATTAAACTGCAATTCATAAATGATTAATGGAAAAAAAGGTTTCATTTACAAATTTGTAGATGTGTTATTGGATATGAATAAATTTTACCCTATCCTGCCCATAGTAATAAAATAACATTTAAATTTAGGGGAGGTACAGAAAGAGAATAGGATGCAATTGCAACGCATTGAGTCATTGGAAGTATGGGATTCTAATAATAAGGTTTACAAGGCTTTCAACTCTCCCACCACAATAACCACCCTTTTTGTGGTGTGGTTCTTCCCAGGTTCTTATCATATATTCACAACCAACATTTCATATTAGAGGATACGAGGACTTCTTAAATTGAAAGAATCATATTACCTTATCTGCAATACCAAACTTTGCACAGTCAATAGCTATGCGTGTTGCTCGACCAATACTTTCCTTTGTCCTTGTCAATGTCCCAAGCATTGCTTCAAAGTACAACAAAGCAGCTCGTCCTGCCTCAGTTGACT